TGCCATTCCAGTATTTATCTTATGTTTTACTCTTAGTACTTCTTTGCTATCATGAAAACTTTTTCTTAGTTCAATTGTTTTGAAACATTTAATTTTCTGAATATTGCTTAATCTTAACTTTTGTTCTAAGATTTATACTGCATCTTTGACTACAATTTATTTAAAAGACATTGTATGATATCTTCTACTATTAGAAACTTTAAAAAGTATATTTCCATTTTCTGTTGACTTAAAAAAAGAAGACGTTTGTACTTAAAAAAAAAAAGAAAGAAAGAAAGAAATGTGGGTTGGGAGTAGCACAGGGTGAGGGATTTGGAGAGTAACACAGTGGCTAAGGAGCAAGAGCCTGAAAAACAAAACAACAAAAAGCCTGGTTTGATTGCCAACAATAGTAAGTATTTTGTGACTAACTGGCACTGGAGAAACTATTTCTCAAAGCTGGGAGGCAGGCAGGAAGTTGTAAGGCTAACCCAGGCATGAGTACAAGTTTAGATTAAGGTGTCTGTGGAAACAAACAAGGAAAGACAAAAGAGACTGTAGAGGGCAAGAATCAGCAGAAGTGGAGGATGCATGGAAGATTCTGCTAGAGGAGGGAAGAAGGCTGGATGGACACCAGGGTTCTGTGGACATCAGGACTTGTCTGGAAGGCCTGGACACCACCTGCCCCTTGTCTTTCTCACCCTCTGATGCCAGGCCAGCGCTGAGAGGTGCTAAGCACCAGGCCACTGAATGTCCAGGCTACGCTCCGCTCCTACTAGGTTATGTTTTAGGGCTCACCTTCTTTTGGTCAGGGCTCTGCCACCTCACAGGCATGGGCTCTTAAGTGCCCCAGCCATTGATTGATTGATTGATTGATTGAGGCAGGGTCTCAATATGTAGTAGCACATCTCCCTGCCTTAGCTTACTGTGCTGAGATTACACTTACATACCACTATACCCAGCCTCCTTTATTTTTACCAGAAGGATTTCTAAACTGGTTTTCCCAGGTAGGAAGATGGTCTTTGACAGTTCAGAAGTGTTGAACTGAAGAGATTGAAGTCTCAGGGTCACAGTAATAGTTGCCCCTGTCCAGGGCACATACTCCAACTCTAGGGAAGTGTCTTTATTTTAACTAACTGCATATGTAGCTTTCCTACACATATAATTTTGATAGTGATTAACAAGAATGACATTCTCCCTCTCTGAAGAAATCTGAAGCCAGGTGTGGTGGCACTTGCCTGTAATCCCAGCACTTGGGAGACAAGCAGGAGGATTACCTTGAGTTTGAGTTAGTTCAAGCCCATGCTGAACTGTTCTACATCAACAGCAAAAAATTCTTATTCCTCCAAGAGGCTCTGTTTTTCCTGAGTGAGGATATGAACAGCTTAGTGTGTTCCTGGCTTCCTTACCAAGAGGGGCCTTTCAGGATGTCTAGGGACAGAAGAAACTCTCGAGGGGAATTTTTGGAGAAACAAGACTACTTGGGTGTATAACAAATATATCAATTCTGCTGAAGATGAAGATTGATTTATAGTCCAAGAACAGTAAACATAGTTGGTACTGAACAAAAATCAATATTCTCTGTAATTTAAGAAAAAAGAATTTTGAAGATTTTCCCTAAATGTGTTGATTGAGGCTGGTCAAATAGCTCAGTGGATTAAAGCACCTGCAAAAGCAGGGGGCCGGGGGTTCGATCCCTGGGCCTGACATGCTGGTCCCGTCCCCAGGGCATGATGAGATTGCAAATGAGACTGGGTGTGGTGGTGTGTGCCTGTAATCCCAGCTCTTGGGAGGCTATAAACAGGAGGATCACTACCAGTCTGTTCTAGTAGTGAGACCCTGAACACCCTGTAGACTCTTCCCTAAAATACAAAAAAAAAAAAAAAAAAAAAAAAAAAATAGTGTTGCGTGCTATAAAATATTAGTTTAATAGACTTCACTGAAAAAGGCTAATAGGGGGCTGAGGAGATGGCTCAGTGGAATAAGTGCTTCCCTGGCAAGTGCAAGGGCCTGAGTTTAATCCCTGCTTCTGCCAAAAAAAAAAAAAAGAAAGGAAAAAAAAAAGGCTAATAAAAGTATGTGTTTATATTGAAAAAATATAAATTAAAGACGTTCTGGATATTCTGGAAGATTCCAATTAACCAAAGTGAATAATAATAAATACCATTTCAACTTCATTAATAAGTAGATAAAGAAAGTTTCTTAATATTTGAGCCAATATCCTTTGGAGAAGCCACAGGAAAATTTATAATTGAAACAACACAGCTCTACTATGAAATTTATTTATTTATTCATTTATTTTCACTTATGTATTTGGTCTAGGGTCTCACTATGTATCTCTAACTTATAGTTATCCTCCTGTTTTCAGCATCCCCAGCACTGGGATTACAGGCATGTACCATCATGCCTGAACTCAGTAGCTGGCTCAGCACACCCTGGGGGTGGGGCTGGTATGGCACGCAGGATTGAACCCTGGTCCCTGCGCTTGCCAAAGGAGGCGCTTCGTACATTGAGCTATCTTGTCGGCCTCTACTATGACATTTAAAAGACACCAGGCAACTCCATGCTCTTTATATGGGGTCATGTGAATTCCTTCACAAGTCCAAAATGGCTGCAATACATTTGTTGAATTAAGAGTGACCAATACCTCAGCACCACATGCCACACCGACCCCATCCCCCAGCACACTGAGCAAGCCACTAAGACCAGGCGTGGTGGTGCATGCCTGTAATTCCAGTGCTGGGGAAGCTGAAACAGGAGGATGACTAGAGCTACATAGTGAGACCCTATACCAAATACATTAAAAAAAAAAAAAAAAAAAAAAAGAGTGACCAACAATGGTCCCCCCTTCCCCTTTCCTTCTTTCCTTCTGGACTTGTGGATATGCTGAGAACAAAATGAAGAAGAGATGTTTTAACACTTTTGGAACAGACAAAGCCATTCTGAGGCATAGCGACTCAAGGTGAAAAGTAGGAAAGAAAAGGCCAGGGGTGGAGGAAAGTCATGGTGCAAAATAGGCAACTACACTATATGCAGTCATGGCAGTGTTAGCACTGAGTTATATTATCATACTGGGTAACATTTATTTTTGCACAAGCAACAAGAAACAGGGGAAATATTACTCTTATTCCTGAATAAGGCTTTTTTTTTTCAGTGCCAGGGATTGAGCTCAGAACCTTATGCTTGCCAGGCAGGTGCTTATGCCACTGAGCTTATCTCCTGGCCCCTGAATAAGCTATTTTGCTAAAGTAAAGTAAATACACATACAAATGAGGAACTGGTAGGGTTTTGAGAAAGAAGGAGGCTGATGGACAGATACATGGGGTTAAGGGATAAAGACCAACACTATCACCAATCCCAGAGCCCCTGATTGCTCTTATTTGACTGAAATCAGTTTGCCCACCCGTAACATGAAATTTTTGGACAGGTTGATTTTTTTTAGGAACTGGGGATTGAACTCAGGCCCTTGCACTTGCCAGGGAAGTGCTTATTCCACTGAACCATCTCCCCAGCCCCTAGGTTGATTATTCCACTGAGCCATCTCCCTGGCCCCCTCTAGGTTGATTATTTTTTATTTATTTATTTGTGTGTGTGTGTGTGTGTGTGTGTGTGGCCAGCTCAGCCCACCAGAGAGCGCGGCTGGCTGGCATGTGGTATGTGGTGCTGGGGGATTGAACCGTGGTCCCTGTACTTTGCTAAGCTTGTTCAAATAGGTGCTTTAGACCACTGAGCCATCTTACGAGCCCCCCACTCTAGGTTGATTATTAACACTCTCTTCTCCTTCAAAATTCTATGATTTAAGAATTTTCTTTTGAAAATTTTTTTTGAAGGTTACGTTAGCTCTACAGTTTATTCCCTTACCAGAAGCAAACTATGCTTTCTGTTTTACATGATTGAGATTCAGTTAATTCAGTGATGCAGTCATTATGGAATCTATTTCACACACTGTTATGTTTCTAGCCAGTTAAAAGAAGTTCGACCGCACCTATAATTTTGGCAACTAAGTCCTTCTCTCTGGACTCTAAATACACTGGAGTGCTGCTTACCTTGAGGCCCCAGGTTTCACGCCCAGCATGTCCCAGCTGTCTTTGCTATTTCGAATTCTACGAATGGTATCTGCTTGTTCTTTGGTGAAGCTAGTGCTGCTGTTTGTGGGAGGACGTTTCCCGCCATTTTCACACAAATCGACTATGGATACATAAAAGGCCTGCAAGAAGTAAACACAGCTCATAGTAGGGCAGCCTGTGTGAAGAGAGGAATTCCTTTTAAGCACCAACTTATCACCTTCTAACACATTCCAGTAACTTAAAAAGTCATTCATTAATCACATACATACTTTGTAAAACTTTTTCCCTTTATGCTATGTTTAAATATAATTATATTTTAATTTAAAAAGTATAAGGTATGACATTAAGGTGGCTATTATTCTACTCTCAGGCAATTCCACTTTAGTTAAAAATTACTAGATGAAACCTGTCGGGTGTTCAGATAATAAGGTGTGAAATGAAAACTGCGTCTCCTTATCTTTCAAATTTTTCTCTTTAAAATAACCATTGTTAACATTTTTCTGAGTATCTTTCCAGGAAAATTTGCTACCAATATACCATTTCATACACACATCTGTACTCTATAAATACATAAGTGATCAGATAAAACACACTGAAGAGCACTTGCATTTTTTTTTTTTTTCATATCATAACACATCGTGGAACCTTCCTATAGCTACATTTAGAAACCCTTATTTTATTTAATAACTTCATTATTTTACTGCATGACTGTGCCATCCTGAGCCACTGGTTACTCTTGAGCAAGCCATTGGTACCAGTTTCCTGGCTATCAAAATACTTTTAAGCAGCTGCATCTCTTCATAGTTGTGGAGATGATGCTTTAGGATAAATTTTGAAAAAGTAACATCAGAGTGTGTGTGCATTTAAGTTTTTTATTTTGACTATTGCTGTCCACAAAGGCTACACTAGTTTACATTCTCATTCCTATGTGTGAGAGCAACTAATGTCTGCCTCCTCCTCCTCCTCCTCCTCCTCCTCCTCCTCC